AAGCCCGTCCGGTCCCCCTCCCTCCCTCTCCTCCTTGCGACGTTTGCTAGTTTCCTAGAATTCTAGCCTACTGCGCGAACGTGCGTCGCGCAATTAGAGCCGACCGGACCGATGAGGAACGTGCTTCGACGCCAGAAGGTGTATTTTGAGGCCTGGGTCAAATTTCGGATGACATCCACGTACGTCCACTTCTGCGACGGAGAATTGGCTTCTTCTGTCCTCCCCGACGGCGACAAGTGCCAAGGAGCGATCAAGGAGCAATGACAGTTCTTCCGGCAGACTCAAAATTAAACTTCGCCCCGCCTATAGGCCCCCCCCCCCTTTTTTTTTTTGGGGGGGGGGGGGGGGGGGGGGGGGGGGGGGCGACACGTGAGCAAGGATGTAAAGTGTTCTTTTACACATTTAAGGATTTTTCACATTTTATTTAACCACAAGTTGACCTGGCGCACTTCAAGTAACTCACACTAAAAGAGGAAATAGAAGACAGTATGAAATGTTATAGTCTGTACAAAAATAATTGGCTCAACTGTGCCTAAAAGGAACTTAAATTGTATTGACAACTCTCAAATAAAACGCTTTAGTGCTTTAAGTAAGAAATACTTTATCTCAGTGCAATAATCTCACTCTGAGCTAAACCAGTTATTTATTTGACGACAGCTGCTCAGCCCTCTGGTTGAGCTGTTGAACTAATGTATTTTGATGAGACAGTAACTGCTGGGCAACGCTTTGGGCTCCGCTGAGAAGGGTTTGCAAAACTCCAAGTCGTGCTGCATCAATATTAGGAATGCGAGATAGGGTTTCAATTTCACTCACACTTAGAATTCGTTGATCAACAACGGCACCTGCAAAAGCACAATATGCAATTATTTGTTAGTTAAAAGAGTCTACTACATTTACATACACAGCTATATTCACAGTATATTACTCACATAAGAGATGATGATGAGATAGCTTCCTATTGACTTGAACAAGACTTGCAAGGTCAGCCTCAGGTGAAAACACCATGAAAGTAGAAGATTCGAATAGAGGCAGCAAGTTGCGGAACTCTGTATCTCCAATGGCTTCCTTAACAATGTACTTATTTCTAATAATAACTTTCATATTTGCTTTAAAGAAATGAATTTTAGCCTGAAAGTAATTGTTTCACATTGGGGTCACATTAAAAAGGCAAATTATGTTTCCATAAAACTTCTAAGAGACGATTTACTAACATTGTGAAGTTGGTCATGACTAAATCCTGTCCGGTGAAAAAGAGCACTCAGTTTTGACGATTTAAACAGGTCCCTCAATTCAGAAGCATAAATCTTGTCCAGCGCATCGAGCTGCAAAAATGCAGAAAAAAATTAGTGGCAGTGAAGTATTTTACAATACAATGACAGACTGAATAGATATTACAAGACATACTTCATAAGATGGAATATGTTGGAGGGGCTTTAAACACTTTTCAATAGGAAGGCGGGTATCTTCTGGTTCCTTAGGTTCAGTAACAGTTAAGAATTTAGCTTTGAGGAATGGAGGAGGCCTTGGTCTTTGAATATTCGGCCGGTTATGAACAAAACGGACTTGATGGTTGATAATTGTTGGTATAACTCGCAAAACCCCTGAAAAATAAACAGTGCCATAACATGCCATAACATAACCCTTTGTCTG